CTGGGCTGCCTGGGCGCTCGGGGTTTGACTGCGGATCGCCAGCGACCCTCGTGGCGCGCCCGGCCGTGCGCTGCCCCTTCCCGCACCGCCTTGGCTGGTAGGTGATGGTGGGGGGCCCAGGCGTGAGGGTCGCAGGCTGGGGCCGGATCTACTGCAGAACTGTGAGCGGGCCCCCACTGGAAAACCCTCATCCTCCTGCCCACAGGTTGGGGTCAGCCGCCCGGGTGCCAGCCCGGGGTCCACCTATTCCCGTCCCCTCTATAAAGTGGACTCATCATTTGCCCCGCAAGGAAGCAAAAAGGAGAGGTCGCAGAAGTAGGAGTAACTGGAGAAGGCAGTGTCTTCCCTGTTGTTTTTTTTCTCTCCATTTCCTTTGCTTCCATCCTTGCAGCCGTCTGATAGTTCCCCCCTCCCAAGTTCTGCCCTAGGCTATCTCCGGGTCCTTTGGGTCTGGTGCAAGAGGTGCGGGCAAAGGGCTCCGTCCTTTCTCAGGACTTCAGTTACCACGATCTGAGAGGGGATCAGCTTGGTGCCCCTTTTGGCTGTCAGTGTCTCTAATTGCTCTTGTCCCTGGAGTCAGGGTCCTGGTAGCACAGCAGTCAGCTAAAACGCCCAGTGCCTAATAAGAAAGAAACCAGAGACACAGCAGTGGTATTTGAATCAAACACACTGGGTCACCTGTGTATCTTTGGGATCATTACCTCACTTTGCTGGGTCTTGGCCTACATGTTGGTAAAATTGGGCAGCTGTCACATGGGTACATGACCTTCCCTGGTCATTGTATCCCACCACTTCTCTGTCCTCCTTACAGCCTTTCCACAAGCTCACCAATTATATCTCTTACTGTCATGGGGTGTAAATGCTATTAATACAAGGGTTTTGCCGGTCTTGTCCCGTCCCTTGTGTTGGTAACTGGACACAGTGAGTGCTCTAACGGGTGCTGTCTAAAAGGAACAGGTGCTGGGTGGGTGGCCTTTGTTTCCACGGTGAGTGGCTTTCTTCTCCTCTCCCCAGTACTGCCCTTCCCCTCTTCCTGCCCCCGCAACCTTTCCTAATTTCTGATGACAAGCCGCAAGAGGAGGGAAAACCCAGAGATCTCAGATCCCATTTGGTCTGGGCTGCCTTCACTACCACTTTCCTGGGAAACTGGGATGGGGGCCGAGGGGATTGCTACTACGCAGCCCCTCCAGCCCTGAGTCCAGTACTTTGTGTACCTCTCCCTCCCTACAGCAGACAGGTGGCTTATCACCATTTTACAGACAATCCTCATCTCAGTGACTCGCCTGAGGTACACAGTCGTGCAGACCAGGACTTCACATTAATTGTGCATCTGCTGGGCACAGTCTAGGCTGACACCAGCATCTTGGATATGAACCTGGTTCAGTTTCTGACCTTCCTCTTCGCCCTGGGACTGTCAGGGACAGGAGCCACAGGGACCCTGAGGACCTCCCTACACCCCAGCCTGGAGATCTGTATCCCTCACAGGTACTGATGTGTCCAGAGATGAAAGCGGTCAGTAGTTATCCAGCGTCTTGAGCATTCTAGGCGGGATGTAGACCTAGCTAATGGGAGGGGGTGTGCGACGGGAAAGATAAAGAGCCCTGGGTGCAAACTGTGGGGGATGGTAAGGTGCCCTGGGTGCAAACTCAGGAATGCTGAATTACCCAAGATTACTGCCCCTCTTGACCCTGGTGTGTGGGCCACCTCCTCTGGGACACTGATGATTCAGGGCCAGGCACTGGCTTTGGGGAGTTCACAAACAGGGTAGAAGTCTTCACACAGATCACCCTGCGGTCTGTGACTGTGTTCTGCTGCGGCAGAGGAAGGGTAGCGGAACACCATGCATGGCTTTTAGCTAGAATAGGAAATCATGGTGAAGGGTAGGAGTACCTTGGCAGAGGATGCTGTAAACAAAGGCATGGAGAGATTATGGGAGATGGCAGCAAGAGCCCAGGGAAGGACAGTCAAGGGCCAGGTCCCACATGGTTGTGTTTAGGCTCTTGAGTGTTGTGTCCCCTGTAAATTGGATAAATGACATACTCTGGGATACATCAGCTCCTCGGACCATTAGGTCCTTCCCAGGGGTCCAACTGCAGGCATCCGTGGCCCATGGTACTCGTGCTGATGAGCACAAGGGCCACTGGAGCTGTCCAGGCTGGACTCTTGGTGGCAGCCCCTTAACTGACTGCCATCCAGACAAGAAGATGTTTGAGGTGAAACGCAGGGAGCAGCTGCTGGCGCTGAAGAACCTGGCACAGCTCGATGACATCCACCAGCAGTACAAGATCCTCGACGTCATGCTCAAGGGGCTCTTCAAGGTGCGTGCGGGTGGGGACAACCCAGGGTACAGGCCTGGTCTTTCGGGGTGGACAGCACCAGTGGCCTTTGATGTGGCCGCTGAGGGATCCATGAGAGTTCACTCAGGGACAGTGTGCAGTGAGGAGAGTCTGCCCGCGGAGCGGAAGGTGGTGGGGTGAGACAGGCTGTGCGGGCCTCTGCGCAGTGCTCAGCCCAGAAGGCTCCCGCAGGTGCTGGAGGACTCCCGGACCGTGCTCATCGCTGCTGACGTGCTCCCAGATGGGCCCTTCCCCCAGGACGAGAAGCTGAAGGATGGTAGGTCTTCCCACCCTCGCCTTTCCCCAGCTGCCTCCATCTCTACAGCGGCTCCTGCCCCACATTCTTGTCCCACCTGTTCTCTCCCGCCTTTCATGCTGCCGCTCCCGTGGTCTCCCTGGGCAGTTCTGGAAGCCCCCTTTCATGCTACCCCTCACATGGTCTCCCTGGGCAGTTCTGGAAGCCCCCTTTCATGCTATCCCTCACATGGTCTCCCTGGGCAATTCTGGAAGCCCACTTTAATGCTGCCCCTTACATGGTCTCCTTGAGCAGTTCTGGAAGAAGCCCCTTCCATGCACCCCTCACGTTGTATATCCTTGGGCAGCAGGCACTTATTTCCATGGCTCTTGAGGCATCTTGGAGACCCAGAGTCAGTGTCTGTACTCCTGACAGAGATGTGCAGTCAGTGTCTATACTCCTGACACTGATGTGTACCTTTTTGCTATATCCTGAGTGAACAGAGGATCAAGGAGGGATCCCTCGTCCCCTACCACTCCAGGGCCATGGGCCCATTGCAGGTGGTGAGGGGAATATTGTTCTGATTTAAAGGGAAATAGTCTGTGAGGGTAACTGAGCCACCAGAGTGGTTACCAGCACCCTTCCCTGCTGCCCAGAAAGTCCCTATTGAACCCAAACCAACTCCAATTCACAGTGATTCCACGTGTACAGAGTTTAACTTTGCTCCATAGGGGTTTCAAAGCTGTGACTCCAAGATGTCTCTAAGTGGATTTGAACTGCCAATCTTTCAGCTAATCATTTAACTGCTTTCACTACCCAGGGACTCTTTAAAAAAAAAGCCATCTCAACTTCTTAATTTTTTCTGAGATAAATTGGGAAAACAGATAGATGAAAGATGAGTGTTGAAAACCCTCCATCCCCATTTCCAGGGATTCCTTCACCCCCTGACTCCCCACAATTAACGGGTTATGTTTTAAAAAATCCATTTCTTAGGTTACCATGCCAAGCAGAGGAGGGGCATACCCTTGTGTATTGAGTCAGGGCACGTTATAAATATCTCTGATTGCCACGATCACTCTGAGGAAGGTATTCCCTTAGTCCAGATGGGAGAGGATGTGTTCCCCAAACTCCAAAGGCTCTTACCTCTGGACCAGGCTAATCTTGAGTCCCTTGGAGTTCAAGAGAGTTTGAAACCCGAGCCCCTGCCTGTCCCATTTACAGAACCACCCAGCCTGCCATTTCTCTGGAGGCAGCCTGTTGTTTTCAGGGGGACCCCTGCCAGTGCTGATGAGTGCTGCCTAGGTCCTATGTACAAGGCCACAGAAACAGGTGCTTCCTTGGCCAGACCTAAACTTACTGCTGTCAAATCCCTTCAGACCCCTAGTGATCTATTTGACACAGTAGAACTGCCGCACCGGGGTTTCCAAGACTAAGTCTTTATGGGAAGGTCGCCACGTCTTTCTCCCATGGAGCCAGTTTGAACCATAGACGTTTAACTGCTGTGCCGTCAAGGCTCTTCTTCATGATCACGGGGGCCTGTCGTCATGATGGGTGCTAACTTCCATCTGAATGGCCTATTGACCATGGGAAGGACATTCCTGGACAGTTGGGGAGTTAAAGTAAGATCTCTGGTGGCCTGGTGGTTAGAAGATGCATTGCAATCCCAAAGGCACATGATTTAAATCCACCAGCTGCTCCATGGGAGATGGATGGGCATTTTCCTCCCGTGCGATTTACGGCCTCTGAAAACCCACTGGAGGGTCAGCTGTGGGTTGGTTCTGACTCAGCAACACACAAAACAGCAATAAAATAGTTAGACTCAGGATTGCCCCCATGTAAATTTACTGGTATAGATTATCATACACTGGTTATTATAAATCAGGTGAAGGGTACATAGGAATTTTGTGTAGTATTTTTGCAGCTTTTATTTAAGCTCCAAAATTATCTTAAAATAAAACTGTAAGAAAGTACGGGGTGTTTATTTTTTTAATATGTATAAAATTTTATTAATTTTAATGAACATTTACAGAGATTTTGGATTTCCATTCATTCATTATTGCACTATATTTTCTTTAAAAAAAAAAAACAACAACAACCCAGCCAACCAACCCAAAACCAAATCCTAACCTATTCCCTGCTGTGATAACAGACCTGTCTCAGCTGACCCTGTAGTTCTGATCCTGTCACTGGCCAGCTGTGAACACCTGGGCATCATGTCAGGGAAGCCAGGTCTAGTGGAACCAGTCGTGTGACCCATCGGCCTCCACCTCTGAAGTGATATGGGCAGGCAGGAAACGGCTGGGTGGCCACCTGCATTTGCAGACCAGGTTTGCCCCTTGCTAGCCAACTGAGAAGGAGCTCTGGTGGCATCCGTTATTGGTTGTGCTGTAATCGAGGCAAGGTGACTCCAGCAGTTCAAATCTAACAGCTGCTCAGCCGAGGAAAAATGGGCAGTCTCCTCCCACCAAGGTGGACAGTCTCAGGACCCTGATGGAGGGCTGCACTTTCCAAGGTGGACAGTCTCAGGACCCCGATGGAGGGCTGCCCTTTCTAAGGTGGACAGTCTTGGGACCCCGATGGAGGGCTGCCCTTTCTAAGGTGGACAGTCTCGGGACCCCGATGGAGGGCTGCCCTTCCCAAAGTGGACAGTCTCAGGACCCTGATGGAGGGCTGCCATGCTTTAGAACCTACTTAACAGTGAGTGAATGTGGAGTGATTACTCTGAAAGGAGCCCTGGTAGCACTAGGGGTTAAGCGTTGGACTGCTATTTCAAAGGTCTGTGGTCTGAAGCCATTCTGTAGAAAGGGTGAGAAAGTCTGCTTCTGTGGAGATTTACAGCCTTGGGAACCCTCTGGGGTAGTTCTCTGTCCTGCAGGGTCGCGATGTGTCAGAATTGACTCCACAGCAGTGAGAGGGTTTGGCTGCCTAAGCCTCACTTTCCCACTTGTAACGTGGGAGCAGATGCCTCATCGTCCTTGAAGGTAGTTCTGTAGACTTTGTGAGCTGAGCAGAAAGCCGTCGGTGGGTGCTGCCCCTTCTGTCTGGTGGCTGACTCAGCGCCCCGTCCCCTCCCGGTCTCCCCCAGCCTTCTCGCACGTGGTGGAGAACACAGCTTTCTTCGGTGACGTGGTGCTGCGCTTCCCCAGGATCGTGCACCATTACTTTGACCACAACTCCAACTGGAATCTGCTCATCCGCTGGGGCATCAGCTTCTGCAACCAGACAGGTGTCTTCGACCAGGGGCCTCACTCTCCTATCCTCAGCCTGGTGAGCACAGGGACGGAGCAGCTGGGGAGCCCTGTATGTGGCCATGTGCTGTGAGCCATCGTCACCTCCACATGTGTGAGGTGGGGTACTGTGAGCAGTCGTCACCTCCATGCTTGTCAGGTGGTGTGCTGTGTGCCTGTTCTCACCTCCATGCACGTGGCGGTGTGATGTGAGCCCATTGTCGTCTCCACAATGTGCTGATGCCTGTTGCCACCACAAAGGGAGTAAGGCAGTGTGCTGGGAGCCCGTCATCACCTCCGTGTGTGTCGGTGTGCTGGGAGCCCGTCATCACCTCCGTGTGTGAGGTGGTGTGCTATGAACCCATTGTCACTGCTGAGAATGGGAAGCGGTGTGCTGTGAGCCCATCACCTCCACACGTGTGAGGCGAAATACTGTGAGTCTGTCTTCACCTCTGCTTGTGTGAGGTGGTGTGCTGTGAGCTGTTGTCACCTCCACTTGTGGATAGTGTGCTGTGAGCTTGTCATCTCCAAGTGTATGAGGTGTACTCTGAGACCATCATTACGTGTGTGTGTGTGTGTGTGGTGTGCTGTGAGCCCATCATCATCTGTGTGTGGGGGGGGTGATGTGCTGTGAGCCCATCATCACTTCCGTGTGTGTGTGAGGTGGTGTGCTGTGAGCCTGTTGTCACCTCCAAGTCTGAGGGAGTGTGCTGTGAGCTGTTGTCACCTCCGCGTGTGTATGCTGTTAACCCATCGTCACCTCTGTGTATGAGGGAGTGTGCCATGAGCCTGTTGTCACCTCCGCCTGTGTGTGCTGTGAACCCCTTGTCATCTCCATGTGTGTGTTTTGTGCACCTGTCATCACCTCTGTGTGTGAAAGCGTAGGCTATTGTCACCTCCACGTGTGAGGGTATGTGCTGTTAGCTGTTGTCACCGCTGCATGTGAGGGCATGTGTTGTGAGCTGTCATCACCTCCCTGTTTGCTGTGGTGTACTGTGAGCTGTCATCACCTCCCTGTTTGAGGCAGTGTGCTGTGAGCCCATCGACATTGATGCCTGGCTGGTGCTCTGTGATGAGCCCCAGGACCCCCTGGTTACAGAGGCTTCGTCTCCAGGGGCTCTGTGGACCCACCTCTCTATGGGTCTTCACCTTGCCCATGTCTGCCCCAGTCTTGGTTAGGGTCCTGGCACGCCGGGATTGCCTGAGGGTCATTGGGACAGAGACAGGCTGACCGGATTTCTTCATCCACAGATGGCGCAGGAACTGGGCATCAGTGAGAAAGACTCAGACTTCCAGAACCCATTTAAAGTGGACCACACAGAGGTGAGCGGCAGGGCCGGGCCGTGTCTGCTCTGTATGTGCTGGCCACTGAGGCCAGGCTGGGGAGCCTGGGGTGGGGCTGGGCAGCGCTCAGGCCTCGGGCTTGGAGTGGACAAGTCTGCGTCCAAGCCAGCTCACACAGGGTTCTTTGACCTTACCACATCCTTCCCCTCGGTTAGTGGTCCATGGGGTGTCAGCCCCAGCTTTGGAGGACAGTCCGGAGGTTGTGAACATGTCATCCCAGGACAGAAGCACCTCTTACTGGGTCAGGGTCACTGGGGGCTCAGGCCATGCTCTCCCCTATCCGCGAACCTCTGGGTGCCCACCTGGCCCTATGTGCTTTCCTACACGTGCCCTCAGTCCAGGTCTGAGATGGGCTCCGGGCCCCAGACACTGCAGGTTGGGATGACAGGTCGGGCAGTAGAGGGCAGAGAGTTCAGGGGTGGCAGGGCACGGGCAGGAAAGGAAGACCACGTAGATCCCTGGAGGACTGAACTGGCTCATCCTGGCATAGAGAGAGGGGTGCTAGGGTCTGCGAGGGACCTAGAATTTTACTCTCTGGAGTGACAGGTGAACCCTTTACTGTGCTGGCAGAGGTGACGAGACCCGACCTTGTTGCTGTAAAGTCAACAGCCAGCACGTCGGTGTGGTGGTGTGGACTCCCCCGGCTCCACGGCTGCCTGACCAGAGGGCCCCGTGGGTGCTGCACCTGCAGTAGGTTTGCACTGCAGCTGAGGATCGCTGAACCTAGTAAAGTCCCTGCGTGCGTGCCTCTCGGATGTGGGAGACTCTTCAGTGCCTTCCACGCAGACCTGAGTTGATTCCCAGCAAATAGACCCCATGCGTAGCCACCACCCACCTGTTAGTGGAGAGGTGCTTGTTGCCTTGATGCTGAAGTTTGCATCCACCAGCTGCTCCACAGGAGAGAGACGGGCAGTCTCCTCCTCTGCAGTCTAAGCCTCTGAAAGCCTGCTGCAGGGCGTGCTGTGAGTTCGCTCCAGCTCAGTGGTACACAGCACCCGCAGCATGATGGTGAGCAGGTCTCAACAGAGCATCGAGACTAAGACAGACTGAGAAGAAAGGCCTGGTGCTCTTCTTCCAAAGCACAGCCCGTAAAAGCTCTGTGGGTCGCAGTGGTCGCGTCCTCAGCGGTTGGGGGGATGGTGCAGGATCAGGCAGTGCCTTGTTCTGCTGTGGGTGCAGACTGGGCTGTCATGCCAGCAGCTAACAACCACAACAAAGAGAGCAGTGGCTGCCTTTAGCGCCGCCCTTAGTGGCTGGGCTGCTCTCTGCAAAGCCAGTTCTAGAAGTGACCCGGTAACGTGTTTGGGGCCTTGCGTTCCTGGCGCACCCAGTAGGGCTGTGCAGGGACACTCAGGCAGCCTCCAGTGGCCCACCGCACAAGGTTTAGCTTGATTCACACTTTGTCTTGAGTGCGTATCAGCCACTGAGCCTCATTGGTGGAGGCTAGAGGCAGACTCCTTCAGTTGGTGTCATTGTGTTAAGATTGCGGTCACAGGTCTCCACGCAGGGGGGTGAGGCTAACTGCAGTGTAGATGTCGCCATGGCTTCCCGGGCCCTGGGCTCTTGGGAAACCAGTAGATCTTACTTTGTTGTCATTGTTAGGTACTCTCAAGTCAGAGCAACCCACAGCTGACCCTCCAGCAGGTTTTCAGGGGCAGTAAATCACGCAGGAGGAGATTGCCCAGCTTTCTCCTATGGAACTGCTAGTGGGTTTGAACCATGTATCTTTGGGTTGGCAGCACGGTTCCTTACTGCTAAGCCATCAGACTTCCCTAGATCTTACTATAAACACCCCTAGAATCCAAACCAGCTTCTATCAAGACATGGAAGCCCCTTGTATCTGAAAATGGAATCGCTCCATGGAGTTTTCAGACTCTGATTGTTTGGAAGTAAATCGCCAGGCATTCCAAGGCACCTCTAGTAGACTGAACCTCCAGCCTTTTGGCTAGCAGCAATCTTGAACCATTTGCATTGCCCCTTGTTTTAAATAGGATCTAATTTAAGGCCTGCCCGTTACCCATTTGCCTTGAGCTGGGTTCTTTAGAGAAACAAAACCAGGGAAGCTGAGAAAGAGAGGGAGGTTTTGAGGAAATGATTGATGTGCTTACACAGGCTGGTGGGTCTCTGGCCTGTGCGAGCTGTCAGAGAGGCTAATGAGTTGAATCTTCCACAGACAGGCCAGGCTCAGGCTGCTGGCTTCAGAGACCACCGGCTTCAGAGGCTGACACGCCCACAAGTGGTTGTTGGGAAGCAGGGTAACAGCTAGCTAGCTATGGAGTCAGAACCAGCTCATAGTTGGTCCTCCAGCTGGTTTTCAAGAGGCTGGAAGTCCCAGGAGATTGCCCGTCTCTCTCGGAGCTGCTGATGGATTGGAACCCTCCAGTGGCACCGCCTTTGCGTTAGGAGTGCGTCTCCCTACACTCGACGAGGCCACGGAGCTCCGTCGTTAACACTGTACAGGTTAGAACTGGCAGCACCCAGGCTGGTTACACGATACTGAGGGTCATAGCCACATTGGCACACAGTAATAACCCTCACACTGCCACAACCCAGACAGCTTGGACTGGCCTGCTGATCTTTGTGGCCAGTAATTACAGAGGGCCATAGATGGACCAAAACGCTGTCCTCCTCCGCGTGGAGAAAGGTTCCACACCCCGCTTTCCTCGGCCTGCAGACATGTTACCTGAAGGGCCGGTCACTGCCATTCGGGATTTAGCATTATGCTTGATTGAGATCTCCCTTCTCTTGTTTGGTTGAGCGAGGGTGGTGCCCCCAAGGAGCTGCAGGCTCAGTCAGCCTGCATGGCATAACTAAGGGGTTCTGAGGCACTGGGAAACAGGGGTGCATTTCTGTCCTCAGGTTGAGGCCCAGGGTGAGCTGGAGAGTCTGCCCGCTTTTGCACAGAGCCACCTTTGTGGTACGCAGCACGGGGACCACATGTATGTGACTTAACTGTTCTGACATCATGTGGGCGGGGTGAAAAGCCCAAAAAGAGTTACGTTGTCCCTATCGCTGCCACTGGCCCGTGGTAAACCCTGGGGCGAATTTGCCAGGTGGTCGTGTAGGATCTAAGTGACAAAGAAAGCATTCTTGTCCCCCACCTGCAGCCCCTCTCAAGTCTGTCCTAGTCAAACCAAAAAGTACCCAGCTGCTCTTAACTCGGTTCTGACTCCTAGCAGCCCTCGAGGGCAGAGGAGACCTGCCCACAGAGCTTCCAGGGCTGTGAGTCCGTACAGAAGCAGACTGCCGTGTCTCTCCTGTAGAGCCCTGGTGTGTTTGAACAGTTCCCCTTTGGGTTAGCAACTGAGCACTTTATCCCTTGTGCCACTGGGGCCCCTTTCCGTAACCTGTTGTTAGGTGCTTTGGAGTGTGGCCCAACCCATAGCTGATCCCCCCCCACCCGGGATAGAACAGGAAGTAGGCTGCCCATCTCTCCCTCAGAGCAGCTGGTGAGTATGAACTGCCGGCCTTTGGGGTGGCAGCACAACCTCTTACCACTAGGCCACTACAGCTCATATCCCAGTCTACTACTACCACGTTCACGTTTCTTCCCAAATCATCCCCTACTTTGGTTTAGACTGTTCCCTGGAAGGTAGCATGTATGTCGGAGGTGGACATTCTTACAAAACAGAGAGGCTTACAGCTCCCGTCTTGGCCCCGATGGGACTCCGCAGGGGGGCTTGTCGGGAAGCGTGCTCAGCCGAGCGTTCGTCATCCTTGGGGTCTAGGCCAGTGCCGTCCAGCTGGAGACTCCGGGGAGCTGCCCCGGGAGTGCGGAGCTTTGGGGACATCAGTCCGCGATGGTGTGCTACTGTGTCTCTCTGATGGGCCTGGTGCTGCCATGGCAGCGACCTGGGCCGCGTTGGCTTGATGAGCAGCTCGGTTTCCATGGGTGTCATGGAGCATGGACCTCCGTGTGTCATCCACATGTGTCATCCACACTGTCCAGTTGACACACAGTTTTTAACACCAAAGAGGGGTGGTTGTGTGTAGAGAGGTGAGTGTCTTCCGTCTACTGGTCCCACTCTTCCAGGTGGTAGACCAGATGGCCCGGCCACTGACAGGAGTCCCTGAGCCGTGGAAGGACACTGTGCCAGCTTGTTAGCCGTGGCGTCTGTAGCAGGGGTGGTGACTCCGCATGCAGGTCACTGGCTGGCCGCCCTTTCCCCACAGGACTGTGAGCCTCCAGTATAGATTCAGCCATGTCCCCCAGGGACGGGGACTTCTGGGAGTCAGCAGGTCATCTTTTAAACCCTTTAAAAAACCAGACCAGCCTGGCGCCCTTGAGCCCGGAGGGAAGATGGCGTCGGCCACTCGCTTTATCCAGAGGCTGCGGAACTGGGCATCCGGGCGAGACCTGCAGGCGAAGCTGCAGCTGCGCTACCAGGAGATCTCCAAGCGAACCCAGCCTCCACCCAAGCTCCCCGTGGGCCCCAGCCACAAGCTCTCCAACAATTCCTATTGGACTCGCGATGGCCGCCGGGAAGCCATGCCCCCCGTGGTCATCATGTCCTCCCAGAAGGCACTGGAGTCAGGCAAGCCAGCAGAGAGCTCAGTGACCGCTGCTGAGAAGAAGGCAGTGACACCAGCCCCTCCGGTGAAGCCGTGGGAGCTGTCCTTGGACCAGCCCTACTTGTGACCCTGCACCCTGTGCCCCTGGCTGTGCGCTCCGGACACCCGACTCTGCTTTGCCTCTAGGCTTGTGACCTAATTTATGAGAAATACATCGAGCCCCGTGATGGCTTCTGTTTTAAAAACAAAAAACAGACCAGTAGCTGTCATCATGACAACCTCGTGTGTGTCTGGGCAGAACTGTATGTACCCCAGAGGTTTCCAGTGATTTGGGGAAGCAGATGGCCACGCTTTCCGAGGCACTTCTAGGTGGAGCCGAACTGCCAACCTTTTTACCTTAGTCTCTTAACCCGAGGACTCCTTACCTTAAACAGTCAGAGACAGTCTAAGGTCAGTCTGTTATTCATTACAACTCACAAGCGAGTCTGGACTTTCCTGCATGTCTTTGGTGTCATTAGCAGTATGGAGCCTGGATGGCTGCTGTGGTCGCCCAAAAACAAGGGTGAAGAGGGCCCCTCAGAACACGTTAGGGTGATTTGCTAGGAAGACTCAGCTTATAGCCACAAAGCTGTCATTTATTACAGCAGACAGGTACCAGGCACAGTCAGCAAAGGGAAGGGCATGTGAGTGAGGCCAGGGGAGACACCCCAAGCTGCCAGGGGTCATGCCTGGTACAGGCGTACCGGACACGTGTCACTACCCCAGCTCTGATCAGTGACGGCACTGTGAAATGTGTTGAGACATTTTCAGGAGAGACTCGACACCTAGGGTTTTTATCAGGAGTTGGGGGTCCTTGGGTGGTGGCACAGGTGGTTTGTGCTCTTCTGATAACACATGCGCAGAATAGCCCAGGGGCTGTCTGAACACCACATCTGTCTTGGAGAAGGCGTGGCCAGAGCAAAGGTGACAGAGCTTCATCTCACTTCCTTTGAACATGTTGCTAGGAGAGGCTGTTCTTGAGGAGGAACACCAAGCTTGCAAAGCTGGAGGGTTGGCAAAAGGGAGGAAGATTGACACCGTGACTGCAGCAGTGAACTTGAGTGTGTCAGAGATGTGAGGACGGCACAGGATAGGACAGGGTTCAGGTCTGTTGTTGATCGGGTCACTGTGAGTTGTATTCAACTTGATGGCACCTAACAAGAGAGCTGGACTTGGAAGCCCTCCCAGTAGCACTGCAGAAGAAAGGTTTGGCAGTCTGCATCTGTAAGATTACAGCCGAGAATACCCTGTGGAGCAGCTCCTCTCTGTAACGCGTGAGGTCACCTGGGCTGGCGGTGGCTTTGCTGGGTCTCAGCGTTTGTGCGCACCGCGCTCCAGACGCCCAGGAGGAAGGCAGTGTTCAGGAAGAGCCAAACTGTGTGCACTGTTGAGGCACAGTGAGCCACCCCTCAGTTAGGGGGATGAGAGTACTCCCCAAATTCAAGTTCCCGAGCGCCAGCCGCAGGCCCACCTCCTTACAGACCTGTGAGAGGCGAGCAGACACTGCTGTGTTAGCTGTTTCTGCGTAGAACCATAGCTTCAACTTGGCAAGACCTTCAGTGGCTCCAGCCTAAGTGTTTCAGGGAACCTCGGGTGGGGAGGAGGGTGTCTGTGAGACCCCTAAAGGGAGCCAGTAGCTTTGCTTCAGCAGCAGACTTGGGGACACAACTTTCCTGACTTAAGCATCTGCTACTCCTGTGTGCACATCCCCCAAGGTCGCTTGTGGTGCCAGTGACTCAGGGAGGTGACTAACAAGCGGCCAGGGCCTCGCGTTCTTGGCACACTCAAGGTTGTATAGGAACACGCAAGGCTGCGGTGGATGGCCTTCCCCCCACCCCACCCCTGGGCACCACAGAGGTGCTTCGGTGCTCTGATGCCGTCAGAGGGGAGGGTGAGGTGGGGCTGGCCTTGTGGAATCAGCACCAGGCTCAGTGGAGCCCGGGGTCCTTGTGCTGGCCCTGCTTGGACACCGTCTGAAAGGAGGGTGAGGATGAAGTAGCCACAGGCAGCAGCCCCCGATTCGCTCCCACTATCTCCACGTGCCGCCTCCTCTCTGGGGGACTCCTGGCCTCCTTCCTGTGGACCCATCACTGGAGCCAGCTATGCGGCCCCCCACCACCCTGGTGTGTGGGGAGCTGACAGTCTGTGAGGAGGCAGCAGGGAACCTAGTCCCAGAGCAGAGTGATCACTGTGCCACCAGAGGAGGGAAGCGTAAGGGGCCAGGAGGTGTCACAAAGGATGAAGACTTGGGGCTAGGGTTTGAAGAAGAGCCAGGGCCGCCTGGTGGACGGTGTCCAGGGGTGAAGGCCTTCTGGGCCGACGCTCTCCTTGCACGTCGGCTCAGAGGCCAGCACCTTCCTTCAGGCACCGGCTTCGTGGGGGGCGCTGGCCCAGTCCCGGCCCCAGCAACCATTTGTGCTCTAACAGCAGGAGGCAGACGGCAGGTGAATAGATGTAGACGAAGTCTGAGAGGTGGTGGTGACAGGCGGTGGGAAAGCAGGAAAACTGAGTGTGACGGGGCTTGAAGAACACCGTGATTGGCAGGGCTGCTGCTGGCGAGATGCGTGGACACAGGTCTCAGAGCAGGCCTGACACAAGTGAGGGGCAGGCACGGGGCTGGGGGAGAACATTCCAGGACCAAGGAGCCCCGAGTTGGGAGTAGATTTTGGGCAAATATGAAAAGACGAGGGAGCCTTGGTGACACAGTGGGTTAAGTGTTAAACTGTGAACCAAAAAACCAGCAATTCGAACCCAGCAGCCACTCTGTGAGACAAAGATGAGGCTGTCTGCTCCCGTAAAGATTTACAGCCTCAGAAGTAGGCTGCAAGGAAGTCCTGCTCTGCCGTGGGTTGTTACTGTTGCCGAGTTGGAACTGACTCATAGCTGACCCTCCAGTGGATTTTCACAGGCAGTAAATTGCACTGGATGCAGGAGTGGTGTCCACTTCCTAAACAACACGCCTCTGGAAACACTAGGAACTTTGATAAATGTGATAGTTATAGAAAGGCTTTAGGCCTTTTGTTCATAGGGTCGCTATGAGTCGTGCTTGACGCGACGGCAATCAACAACGACAGCAACAGGTTGCACTGGAGGAGATTCCCCATCTTTCTCCTGTGGAGCAGCTGGGAGATTTGACTCGGGTGCCTTTGTGTTGGCAGTGCAACTCTTTAGTCACTAGTCCACCAGAGCGCCCTACTCTGCCCTGTCGTGTCTCTGAACAGAATCTTCTCAATGGCAGCAGGTTTAGTTTGGGGTTGTGAGGATCTGGGAGCCTCAGTGCATTGGTCAAGTGCTTGACTGCTAACTTAAAGGTTGATGGTTCAGACTCATGAGCTGCTCCCTCAGAGAAACAGGGCAGTCTCCTTTTGTAAAGCTTCACAGCCTTGGAATCCAGGCTTCTGCCATCCTGTAGGGTCACTGTGACTTGGCCTCAACTCCACAGCAGTGGGGGTTTGGGATGAGGAGATAAGGTCAGAGTGATGGGGAGATCACAGAGAGTGATGGGGAGATCCGGAGAGTGATGGGGAGATCACAGAGAGTGATGGGGAGATCGCAGGGAGTGATGGGGAGATCACAGAGAGTGATGGGGAGATCGCAGGGAGTGATGGGGAGATCCGGAGAGTGATGGGGAGATCACAGCGAGTGATGGGGAGATCTGGAGAGTGATGGGGAGATCGCAGGGAGTGATGGGGAGATCACAGAGAGTGATGGGGAGATCGCAGCAGTGATGGGGAGATCG